TTTTTCTCTTTCTGTAAAGTTTTAAGCCAAGAAGTGAAGGTTCTAGTTTGTTAAGTAGAGTTCAATGAAAATAAATATGTTTAAGGTTTATGTGAACTAGATAAATATATCATTAGCTAAACGTTTGTTTTGATTGATATTCATTCGTTCCTATTGGGGCTTGGAAGAGATGAAAGGGAGTGTTACTCACCGGGAATTTGGGTGAGTGATACGCAGCAAGGAGGGACGCCGACACCCTGCGGGAGTTTTCCGGGTTAGTATTGGTGTGCTTTCGCCCCTTCGTTTATGAGTTGGCTTTTCTGTTTATCATTTGAGATTGCCTTTGTTTTCGCTTGTCAAGAATGTTCTGGATGTGTCAGAGTCATTGTTTTTGATCTCTGCCTTCCTAGGGACTTTTTACTTATTTTATCCCACACCTCTGCATGGGGATGGTTTTATCTCCCGTGGAAACTTGTGCTTCCCGAGATACATCCAGTAGCTGTTGAGAACTGTCTAAGGAAGTGATCAGGCCTTGGCTTCTAGAAATTTTAGATCCCAGTTTGCAGCCACTATTCATTCAGGAACATCTTGTGAGCCTTGTACGTGGCTCAGCTGTCTGTACCCAATCTCATGTTTCTCCTTTCATGGTTTCATTTAAATACATTAAGATGTACCATTCAGGTTGTACAAGTCTATGAGTTTTGACAAATGCGTAACGTTGTATAACCACCCCCAGAATCTAGATACGGAGCAGTTCATCACCTCCCAAAATTTTCTAGACCACCCCCTGTACCCCAACGCCGTCAGCCACTGACCTGTTTTCTGTTGCCATGGTTTCTTCTTTTCCAGAATGGCATGTAAGGGGAACCATTCAGTAGGGAGCTTTGGAGTCTGTTTCCTTTCACTTCACATCATGCACTGGAGGTTCACTCATGGTGCTTGGTAGCCGTAACTCATTCCTTTTCATTGTAGAGTTCAGTTGTAGGATACATCGCAGTTTGCAAATGGAAGAACATCTGAGTTGTTTCTAGTTTTTGGATGCTGTGTATAAGGCTGCTATAAATACCCATGTGCAGATGTTTGTGTGGATAGCTGGGATCAGTCACCCCCACCAGCACAGTAACTTCCTTATTCGCCTGTTGATTCAGAGGCACGGGAAGTCCAAACCATTGCACATGCTTCTCAGCCAATGAGAGTTCTGGCCACCAACACTGGTGTTGTCAGTCTTTTTTTTTTTTTTTTAAATATATTTTTATTGATTTCAGAGAGGAAGGGAGAGGGAGAGAGAAAGAGAAACATCAATGATGAGAGAGAATCGTTGATTGGCTGCCTCCTACATGCCCCTACACTGGGGATTGGGCCAGCAACCTGGGCATGTGCCCTGACCGGGAATCGAACCGTGACCTCCTGGTTCATAGGTCGACGCTCAACCACTGAGCCACGCTGGCTGGGCTGGTGTTGTCAGTCTTTTTAATCCTGCCATTCAAGTCATTGAGCAGCGGGTATGTCAATGTGATTTAATTTACATGTGCATGAGGACCAGTGATGTTGAGCCTGTTTCATGTACCCATTGACCATTCACTTCTCTTCCTCTGCGAAGTATTCCAGTGTTTTTGCCCATTCGTTAACTGGAAGATTTACTTTTAAACATTCTTTGTAAGAGTTTTTTAGTGTATGTAGAAATTTTATACAAAGCCTTATTCCGATTTAAGTTTTATAATATTTTATCCGAGTCTGTGTGGAGTCTATTTTCTTGACAGTGTCTTTGGGTGCGCATAAGTTCTAAATATTTTTTTTTTTTAGATCAAATTTTCAAATCTCTCTTAGGTAACACTTATATTTAACACTTGCAGAAGTTCTCATTGATATTTTATAAAAAGCAACACAATTCTTCCTACTAATTTCTGAAAAATATTGTGGTGGGAAATTGGGATAGTTTGCCTTTGCTGGATGTTATAAATACACTCAGAAGCTAATCAGTATGCATGCTGTTTGCAGGGGTTCAAATATGGAAACAAGGTTAAACATATCCACAATTGTCTCGGAAGCAGGTGTTGGGTCACTGTTTTTTATTCTTTAAAGTCTGGAGAGATCGCACTGATGAAAGGAACCTGTTAGGCAAATTATTTCCCAATTTTTGTCCTTTAGCTTTTGTTCTGATTTGAGAAGTACTTCGTTTGTTTTTTTAAATGTAATTTAAGCTCCATGAAGGTAAATTGCTTTCAGACTGGAACACAATGATCTAGAATTAATCCAAAAGGCAGAATACCTTCTGCCTGCTCCATTTTAACAGCTGCTGTGATAGAAAGTCCAGCTTCAGCTTATGGGAAGACATGAGGAAAACAATGTTTTTTTCCCCCCCTGTAGTGTGTTACAGTAGTTCTTCGGCCCATCCTTCACACCGACAGTGGAAAAATGGTATTAAAGAAGGAGCTAAAAAACATACTAAGTTGGATGTTCATTCATTGAACTCCCTTCTCCCTCATCTTCCTCATTTACCCTCCCTTCTCCCCTTTCCTCCTCCCTCCTGTGTTCCCTACTTTTTTCTTTTCTTACTGCCCCCTGTCTTCTCCCTCCACCTTCCTCCTTCCTACCTCTGTTCTTCCTTCTGAGCTCCCTGCATGCACCAGGCAGTGTTCTTGTCCCTGTCAGTGTAGTAGAGAACAAGACCTCTGTGGCCTGTCCATATGCAGCTCACTCTGTAGTGGGGAGGTCGATGGTGAAGACGTAAACCTATGCACAGGGCCAGGTTTGGTGGTCATACGTGCAAAACAAAGTGTGTTTGTGTGCGTATGCGTGCGTTTGTGTTTGTGAGAGGGAATGGGTGAGACATGAAAGAGAGAATGAGAACGAGAATCATAGAAGGCCTCGGGGCATTGGAGCTGAGCTCTGAAGGCGCACCAGATGCAGGGGAAGCGTGTTGGAGGAAGTGGGGTAGCAACTTAGAAACCCCGAGGACAGGTTCAGTTTGGTGTTGGAGAAAGTAGAACACAATAACAGTTCTAGAAAACACGATTTGGTAGTTCTCTGGCCCATCCTGCCCGTGGACAATGGAAAAGTTGCATGAAAGGGGCAGCTAAAGACCTTTCAAGTTGGATGGTCATTCATTCGACTCCCCTCTTCCTCACCTTCCTCAGTGGCACCCCAAGAAGCCCGCTTCCCCAGAGGCACCCCGCCGATGACACAGAGAGGTAGAGAGTCGCCTCTCCAACCCTCCCTGCTTGTCCGCTTCTTGAATTTCCCACCTGCTTCCCGTGTCGGCCTCGCCACAGGACCTGGCCGAGATGGGTGGGGCCGAGTTCCTGCTGCCCGTCTGCCTCCAGCCCCAGCGAGCCCTCGGCCTTGCTGACTTCACTAAGTCGTCGTCCTAATGCTTTCCTTTCGGTTCCAGGGAAGAACCATTTACCATTTTCAAAGGTCACGTTCCTGGAACTATGGAGGGGAACTTACAGAGCAGCATCAGGCTAATTCGAGTTACATGACTCTAACTTTATTTATTTTTTATTTTTATTTTTTAAATCGAGTAGAGAACGCATCCTCATTCTTTTTTAAAAATATATAAATTTTATTGATTTTTTTACAGAGAGGAAGGGAGAGGAATAGAGAGTTAGAAACATCGATCAGCTGCTTCCTGCACACTCCCTACTGGGGATGTGCCCGCAACCAAGGTACATGCCCTTGACCGGAATCGAACCTGGGACCCTTCAGTCTGCAGGCTGACGCTTTATCCACTGAGCCAAACTGGTTAGGGCAATGACTCTAACTTTAATGAAAACCTTGCCAAAGCCATTTCCTTTGTCTCAGTTCTACCTGGGGGACTCTGGTCTCCCTTCTTCCTTATACTTTTTGTGAGTCCTTCCTTTTTCAGTTCCCTTCTGTGACTTATGTTTCTTCCAGCAATTCTTGGTTGTTGTTGTTAATCCTCACCTGAGGATATTTTTCCCTGGATTTTTAGAGCGAGGGGAAGAGAGGTGGAGAGGCAGAGAGAGAGAAACATGGATGTGAGAGAGACACATCAATCGGCTGCCTCCCATAGATGCTCTTACAGGGGCTGGGGATCTAGCCTGCAACCGAGGTCCTCGCCCTTGACTGGAATCGAACCCAAGACCCTTTAGTCTGAGAGCCTATGCTCTAACCACTGAACAACCCGGCTAGGGCTCTTCTGGCAATTCTTCAATTATCTTGACTTTTTAATTGTTTTTTACTGTCCTGTTCAACTTCATTCATTCATTTAGGCTTGACTGTGTAATGGGCATTAAGCTAGGCACTAGGTTTGCAAATGGGGTGGGAGACATAGATCGGATAATGAGAGTGTTCTAAGTACTTTGAGAGAGGCGTGTTGGAAAGGTTATGTAAGTAAACATTCATTCGGCAAATACATATTGACCTCCTGCTGTGTGCCAGGCACTGTGCGATGGAGGTACAGTGTTCTGGCCGTACAGCGCTGACTGTTAAAGCTGGGGAGCATCGAGTCGCGAAGGAGCCAAGGATGGTTTGGGGCTGGGTTACCTGCTCTGCCAGGAGGCATTTGGTGGGGACTCTGAGATAGTAAGTGGTGAGAGAAAAAGGCTAGAAAGGTTGTGAAAGTCCTTCTGTCTTTTAAGGGAGTTTTGTCCTCTTTCTGAGAACAGAGTGTTTATTAGTCCTGTGATGACCCTTACCGACACTCCCATGCTACCCGCCTCTCTCGTTTCTGTGCTCATTCTTCTGCTGGCTGTAGTGACCAGTGGCTCTAGGTGGCGGTGACCACTAGCACTGCTGAGCATGCGTTTGTAAAAAGTGGGAGGGGGGTGGCCAGTACAGACGGAACCCCAAAGCCAGGAGGCCGGTATGGGGTGCCCTTACTTTGCCTGGAGTGTTGCCCTCTAGGATGTAATTAGCTTCTTGAAGTCTGCGTTTTTACTGTTTGTAAGGTAGGGGAGGAAGAAGTTAAAGTACAAACACATGACTTTGAAAGTACCCTGTGGGGGTAAGATTTCCATTTATTGCCCACCCTGAAATTTTTTATTCTTTTCCTTTAGGTTTCTTGCTATTTAAAGATTTTTGTTTGAATGAAATTAATGAAGCTGTACCTCAGGTGAAGTTTTATGAAGAGGTAAGAAGTAACTGTTTTCCTGCTGCTTTTACTTCAAAAGCACATTTAAACTGTACTTTGGAAAATATTTAAGACGACTCGAATATCTCGCAGATATTTAGAAACCCACGGGACTCACTTAGTAATACAGGATAAGCTACGTGGTGTATTCGAGATGCTGACATCTACACGAATCCGATTTGCAAAGGCCCCGGGGTGCTGCAGAAGTAGGGAGGGGTAGTGGGGCTAAAACCCCAGAGCAGGGCGGCTCCTTCCAAGGTGCCCCAAAGATTCCCGGCCGTTTCATTTTCCGAAGAAGCTTGCGGATTCTGTAGACACAAGCTGATGCCGAGGGCTGGCCACCACTGGGTGAAAGAGAATCTGGCGGTTTTCTGGTCACACATCGCTGGAGTGACACGTGGGAGACTTGGTGGAGGAGGGTGGAGGGGAGCCGAAGCGATGGGCTGAAAGCTGTGGGAGGCACCGTATTGAAAGGAAGCCCTGCTGTGGGCAACAATCTGAAACCAGATGGGCAAGAAACACAAGCCCCAGGGGATGCTCTGTTGACACTAAAGAGCTGTAGCTACTTCTCCCCTGGGGCAGCGGTTGATTCTGGGCATAACAGAGTCCAGGCTGGGCCCTTGGCAGAAAGCTGCTTCTGGGAGAAAAAGAGCCAGAAGAGGTTTCTGGGGCTAAAGTAAAAAAAACAAGTGGGGCTGGAGGAGCCCCAAGCAGGTGGCGAGTCTCGCTCTCAAGACAGATGCCAGGTTTTGAACACGAGTGGGACAGAAGGCAGAGAGCTGCTCTGAAAACCCTGGAAGGCAGGAGTAATTTCAGTGAACGCCATGGAGAGCCATACCGTAGGGCAGCGGTTCTCAACCTGTGGGTCTCGACCCCTTTGGGGGTCGAACGACCCTTTCACAGGGGTCGCCTAAGACCATCGGAAAACACATATATAATTACATATTGTTTTTGTGATTAATCACTATGCTTTAATGATGTTCAATTTGTAACAATGAAAATACATCCTGCATATCAGATATTTACATGACGATTCATAACAGTAGCAACATTACAGTGATGAAGTAGCAACGAAAATAATTTTATGGTTGGGGGTCACCACAACATGAGGAACTGAATTAAAGGGTCGAGGCATTAGGAAGGTTGAGAACCACTGCCTTAGGGACTGGGGCAAGCAAGAGGCAGACCGAGTCCTACAAAAATGGCAACTCAGACCAATCTCAGCTCAATCTCTCTCTTAAAAAAAGTTTTTATTGATTTCAGAGGGAGGAAGGGAGAGGGAGAGGGAGAGAGAATCATTGATCAGCTGCCTCCTGCCGCCCCCACTGGGGATCGAGCCGAAACCTGGGCATGTGCCCTGACTGGGAATCCAACTGTGACCTCCTGGTTCATGGGTTGACGCTCAACCACTGAGCCACACCGGCCGGGCTCCACCGGTTTTCCTAGCTAAGAATGCGTGTGACAGCAGTGCCTGTCTCTTAGGCTTGTCATGTGTGAATGCAACATACTGGAACAGTACCTGACATGCAAGCACTGCTCAGTGTGCTGCTTTACACACTTGTTTGTTCCAGTTAGATTTGGAGGCAGCGTAGAAAAATATGGATTTGATGCCTAGATTTAGAAGTAAATCATAGGAAACAGAAAATAAATAGAAGATCAGAGGTAAAGTTACTATCTAGAAATTTCTTCACTCATTCAACCAGGAGTTCTCAGACACCGGTGCCCGGAGCCACTGGTGGGATGAACAAGACAGGCCAAGTGCTTGCTATCTTTTCGCTCCTATTTTTGTTGAGAGCAGCGACAATAAACAAGTAATAAACAGGAAATACATCAGGAAGTAATAACTGCTGTAGGCAGTGACCCAGGACAGAGTCCAAACATAGGAACTCCATCAGGAAGTAATAACCGTTACACAGTGACTCAGAACAGACTCCTTGCTGATGGCCTTGCCTGGGTGGCCACGGGAGAGTGCCGGGTCAGAGCCTGCCTCCGAGGTGGCGGCATCTACACCGAGACTCGAATGACGAGGAAGCTAGCCTTCTGAAGGTGGGAACAGGGTGGGGGTGGGGAGACCATTTTAGGCTGACGTCATGGCTGAGATGTAGCCCCTGATGTGTGGGAAAGCCCTTGGCGTGCTTGAGGAACTGAAAGACGAGTGTGGCGTGTTGGTAATGGGTGAGAGGGCTGGAGTTGTGTGCAATCAGTCCAGAGACCTGGTTTGGGGGCCAGACTAACAGATTTAGATTTGATTCTAAAGCCCATGGGAAATTTAAGGTGAAGAGTCTATCAATATCAATTAGGTCAGAGTGGCAGTAATTGGGTATTATATAGGTGTCCCCCCTGGACCCTTCCCTCCCCCCGCCCCGGGAGGATTGCTCTGTTAGCAGTTAGTTGGCTGTTACCTGAAGCATAGCCTGGGTTTGTGATATATTTTGAGTATAAAGCCAACAAGATTGGCCGATGAATTGGATTTCAGGGGTGAGGGTGGGGTGTGGACAAGAGTGTGAGCAAAAGAGCAGAATCAATGATGACTATTCCTTTTTGGCGTAAGCTACTAGGAGTATGACTTTCGTACTTTTGTGATAAAGAGGAGGAGGGAAGAGCGAGTGTGGCTGGGGTAGGCAGGATGTGGACATGTCAAAGTAGGTAGGTAGCTCCTTCGAACCTGGAGCTCAGGGGGACAGGTGAGCCCCAGAGATCCACGCTTAGTCAGGGAAGGTCATTGGTCTCTGAATCTGTGGGACCGAGCGGTTGTGCCCGAGGAGAATATTGTGGGTGAGGGGCATTGCCCCGGCACCCCGCTCCGACTAGGCGAAGTAGAGGCCATTCGCGATGGTGCTGGCCCATTCCACTGGGATGGCCGTGGAACAAACCAGGGGCGAGAAAGTGGAGACCACGACGGCCATAGACCAAAAGCGCTTGCTCTTGGGGTCCTGGGTATTCAGGCTACTGGGGTGTTTAGGCTGTGAGCGTTGTAACCACCAAAGCAGAAGGGGACACAGGTGCTTGAGGCTCTTACCTTGCCTACTAAGGGTTTCCTTTTCTGTTCAAGCTGAAGTTTCTGAAGCACAAGGCTCTTAACAAAGGCCGTGTCCTGCTTCAGATGTCATTTGCCCAGGACACGAGCCTGTCCGGTGTGGCTGGCTTATTCCAGTTCTGGCCAAGCTTCCGTAGAATCAGCATTAGAGGAACCAGGTGCCGCCTGCTTTAAAGGGCCCCTGGAACTCAGACTTAGGTGTCACCCCACTTGTTTTCAAGGATACTAATTCCGGGCAGGCTTATTATTCTTCGAGTTTGCTCAGATGTTTAGGCAGAAGCACTGGCCTCGGGTTCACCGGCGGGCTACCCGTGTCATCCTCGCACCCTGGCGTTCGCCCGGCCCCCAAAACAGAACAAACCGGAGGACCCCCCCCCCCCCCAAACCAGAAGCCGGCGTTTATTTCCCGGCTCGGCTTCTGGTGCCGGTGTCTGGTTTCTGTGCCTTGCAGCGGCCCTGGTCGCATCTGGCCTGATGTTTGACCCTTGAGACTTGCCCTGCTGAGTGAACCTGGGAGGGTGAGCCCAGGCCCTTTGGTTATTGCTGGCTCACGTCTTCATGAAGACAGCCTTTCCCTCTGGGATGGGGCCCGGGCCTACCCCCGCCTGCCTGCCTTTGTGTCTCTGTTCCAAGAAGACTCCGTGGCGGATTTGCGAAGCGCAGCCTTTCGGTGTAACCCCGATGGTGCTTCCGGCCAATGGAGAGGACCCCAGTCGCTTCTCAGGGGCCTCGGGGGACCCCAGCCTTTCACATCCCCCTCTCTCTGCTCTTTCTTTCTTTCTTTTTTAAAAAATACATTTTATTGATTTTTTACAGAGAAGAAGGGAGAGGGATAGAGAGTTCGAAACATCGATGAGAGAGAAACATCGATCAGCTGCCTCCTGCACACCCCCTACTGGGGATGTGCCCGCAACCAAGGTACATGCCCTTGACCGGAATCAAACCCGGGACCTTTCAGTCCGCAGGCCGACGCTCTGAGCCAAACCAGTCAGGGCTCTGCTCTTTCCTCATCAGAAATTCTTACAGGATTGACTGATTGTGATTTCAAACCTGTCCAACCCTGACAATATAGGAAACGGGTCACACTTCTTCCCATTGATTCGTACTCTCCCCTGGGAGGAGTTAGCCCAGGGGTGGGCAAACTTTTTGACTGGAGGGCTACAATGGGTTCTTAAACTGGACCGGAGGGCCGGAACAAAAGCATGGATGGAGTGTTTGTGTGAACTAATATAAATTCAAAGTAACCATCATTACATAAAAGGGTACGGTCTTTTTTTTTTTTTAGTTTTATTCATTTCAAATGGGCCGGATCCGGCCTGCGGCCGTAGTTTGCCCACAGCTGTTAGCCTCACCTCTTACTATTTGAGAATAAAGAGCTTCCAGTTACTATGGAAGTCAGTGGAACCACTGGCTACCTGGGAGAAACATTTCCCCCCTCCCCTCTCCCCCCTTAATAAGTCACACAGAGTACAGTAGGTCCTCGGGTTACGTCGGAGATCCGTTCCTACAGACGGCGCAATGTAACGCAATTTTGACTGTAAGTCGGAACCCACTTACATAAGCACCTACGTCACTCACGTGGAGCACATACACAGCAGTAATGAAGTGAGACAGTAAAAAAAATTTAAAAGAAAGATAACAATTCCTGACCTTTACTTGTGGTAAATACAGTAAATAATAAAAAACGCAAAGCACATATGTACATATGTCGAAATGGCAGAACTTTTTTTTTTAAATAAATAAATGGGAGATGGCGACGTAACCACGAAACGACGTACGTGGAGTCTGACGTAACCCGAGGACTGCCTGAAGTTAGTCATTACAGTGGAGATCGCTGCTAGCCTCCTACTAGCTCCACATGTCATCTGTGTTTTCATTCTCTTTCTGTCCTTTGGATTAAAGGTATTTCTGTAAGTAAATAAAAAAAAAAGGCTTCTCTGACCTAGGAGCTTCCGTTATCAGGTTAGAATGACCAGGGCTGTTTCCACGTGAGGCACGTATTTCTAAGGCACACTTTATTTTTGGGCCCCTCTCAACACTGGTCGGGTTACCTTCCCTCAGTTAGCAAGCACACCATTTGGGGTGACCTTTCTGTTAATACTTTCGTAGTGCGGAAGGGGTTCCAATGCTTTCATCTACGGCTAAGGCCTTTCCAAAATACTTAGTTGATTTAAAAAAAAATTCTCTCTGCAGGAGCCCCGACCAGATCTATGCATTTTCTCCTGTTGGTTTTGCAATGCTGTCATTGAGCAAGAACGACCTCATAACTCTTAGGCCTGAATTACAGCCAGATGGAACTCGCGCGCGCTTTGGAGAGGAGAGTTGGCAAGCGCGCGTGGCCCGTGGCTGGTAGAGTGTAAGATCATTGTAACCATGGCAGCATTTGTTTCCCAATATTGTGTTTCTAAATTTAAGCGATGAGCTTCATCACTGGAAACGTCCCATTGGTCGTTTTCCCGTGGACTTTAAGGATCCCGGCTTCGTTCCGACAACCTTAGGAGCCGTTGTTTCCCGTGGAATAGCCCGGTCCGTAATTTGCCTGGCCTCGCGTTTTCTGCCAAGGCCAGTGACGCCTTTTAATAAAGTGGGTTTCTAGGAAGACGCATCTAACAACGATCGCTTTTTGAAACCTAGATAAAAGAATACGAAAAGCTTGATAACGAGGAAGATCGTCTGAGTCGAAGTCGGCAGATTTATGACACCTACATCATGAAGGAGCTGCTGTCTTGTTCGCATGTGAGTGCTGCCTGTCGGGTCTGTCACTGCCGTGTGGAGCGGCACGAGGCAGCCTGCAGGGCCCAGGATGCAAGTCAGGCAGGCGGAAGGCGTTCACAGGCCAAATGAGGCTCATCCAGGAGGGAACCCGTTCCTTCTGCTTTGTGGTTTGTTTCCTGATAATACCGACACAGTGTCCATTGCTGCACATACTCTTTTTATTACTGATTTTAGAGGCGGGAAGGAGAGAGAGAGAGAGAGAGAGAGAGAGGGAGAGAGAAACATTGATGTGAGAGGGTAACATCAATGAGCTGCCTCCTGCGTGCAACCCGTGCCATGTTCCCTGATTGGGAATCAAACCAGCGACCTCTTGGCACATGGGATGATGCTCAACCAGCTAAGCCACACCAGCCAGGGCTCCATGTACTCTTGATATATATATATATATTTCCAAAAGGTAAATGCTTTCACTGCAAAAATTGATGAAGTATAATAGCGAATTCAGAGCAAGGGTAGAAAAGGGTAGCCTCAATTCTAGACTTTCTCAAGAAAATTAAGCTTGAAATAACTACATTATTTTAGTGTAGTTATACTTTCGCAATTAGACTAATGAGATATTGGTAAATATAAGTCTTAAGTGGCTTCTTTGGATGTATAGGGAGGATTGCAATTATATTAATTGTGTTCATTAAGTGTTAAATAATGGTTGAAATTCTTTTTCTTATGAATCAGATAAACAGTTTAATTCGGTCATTAGAATAAACTAGGTTCCTAGGAAATTATTCCACCAGGAGTGAGATTACATGGAAAAATTTACCATGTAATCTCTCTACATTAAGACTGTTGTTGTTTTTTTAAAAATGTTTTTATTGATTCCAGAAAGGAGGGGAGAGGGAGAGAGAGATAGAAACATCAATGATGAGAGAGAATCATTGATCCGCTGCCTCCTGCATGCTCTCCACTGGGGATCAATCTCACAACCCGGGCTTGTGCTCTGGTTGGGAATCGAACTTTGACCTCAATGGTTCATAAGTTGACGCTCAACTAC